AAACGTATTTATAAATTTTTTCTAAAAAATTACCCTTTTGACACCATTGACCCGTCTTGCCACTTACGTCAGCTTTTTTCTTTATTTCCGATAACCGAGCAGAATGTATATATTCCGAGTTCTTTACCGCCAAGTTATCAGAACTCTTTGATACCGGCCCGATAGACGACTTTTCTTTCTTTGACTCGATATCTGTCATGGACTTAAAAGAAATTTTATTGTCAATTTTCAATTTTGACAACTTGAAATTATATTCCTTTAAAATGTCCTGGACGAGGATAAGAAATTCCTCATCACCTTGCTCAATAAGCAACCTCTATAGGTATTTGTTTCCATTAATTGTCAACGACACTTTGGTGGGCGCCTGCACTTTTATTGGCATTCCGCCCACTGTATGCAATGGAAAACTCGAAGTATCATCAATCTGCAAATGTAACCTTTCTGCAAAACAACGAGAGATTATTGAAACCGAAGCACTAGTATCCACCAACTTGCACCTTACATTATTAACAAAAACAGATATAAAAGATATAGATAGTGTAGATAGGGCTATCTACACTAAAACTATCAACTGTATAAATATTTCCTAAAGGTGTACTAATTTAGTCTCACTAGCAGGAATTCTCCATTTTGTTAGCCAATCCTCCATTTCGTTTAAGCTGCTTTGAAGGAGTCCGGATGCTTCAACTGGACATTTACTTGAGACTGGTAACGCCGTGTCATCAGCGAAGGTAGCAACGGTGGCCTTTGGGTTTTGTAGCAGGTCGGCTGTGAAGAGTGTGTACAGAACAGGTCCAAGCACAGAACCTTTTTTTTTTTTTATTGTGACTCGGCAAAATGACTGCACCGCGCCTGATGGAAAGTGCGAATACAGTCCAGAGATGAGAGTAACGGATGGAAAACACAAATATCTTCACTCCGTCACTATCATTTTGCCGGTCTGGCCAAATGCTTCTTCACACTACGTTTGAAGGACCCGATGTTATAGAGGGGAGGGAATACATGCGCCGGGAGTTGGTTTCACAATTTGATGGTTCGGCATAAAAACGAATTGCCAAACTTTTTAGTGCGGGACGGTATTGAACTGACCGCCCAACTGTGCCAACGCAGTCCGGCACGGGTGGTCCGCTGATGGAAAGGAGAGGAAGGGATAAGGTTGAATAACTCTTCAGAGCACTCGCCCTGGTACAGGCGATAGAATACGCTAAGAGACGCTATATCTCTGCGAAGCTGTAACGACTCCGCATGCTCAGTTACATGAGGATCGTTGACAACACGGAAGGCATAGCGCTGCAGTCCATCTAGGGCATCGAGCAAGTACTTGGCAGAGCCGTCCCAAAGGTGCGAACAGTACTCCATGCTGCTTCGGACCTGAGCTTTATATAACAGGTATCGCAGCTCTGGAGTAAAAAATCGGTGCACCTTGTTCAGGATGCCAAGCTTGCGCGACGCGGTACAGATGACGCTCTCGATATAATCTTTGTTGCTCATGTCCTTCCGGATGCTCATCCCCAGTAGGCTGAGCTTGTCCTGCAGCGTCAGCGTTGTACCCTGAAGATGGGGAAGTGGAAGGAATGGGGATTTTTTGGAGCTGAACGCGCATACCTGGGTTTTCTTGGCGTTGAACTCAACCAAGTTTCGGGAGCCCCACGACGATATATGTTCCAAAACATGGTTGAGCTCATCGACAAGTTTTTCCCGGTTTCTCTCAGGGTCCTCCCGGGTGCTTGACGATTGCTTATAATAGCAACCGTGCACTGTGCTATCATCTGCATAGCAATGAATGTTGCCAAAAGGCAACAAGTCATTGATATGCAGAAGGAACAGCGTGGGCGACAGCACGGAGCCCTGTGGCACCCCAGCATTAACTGTCACGAGCCGCGAAGTGCCTCCGTTAACAAGGACACGCAATCTTCTATCGCTAAGGTTTCGCCCTGTTTGTCGATAGCTTCACCCCAGAGATGCATTAGATACGCTAGAACGTCACCCGTTGATCGGTTCGGCCGAAACCCGTACTGTCGATCATTAAGAATGGAGTGACGTTCCAGGTGCCGGATTATCTGGATATTTAGAATCCGCTCCATCACTTTGCAGAGCACTGAAGTGACAGCTATTGGGCGATAGTTTGCCGGATCAGACCGATCTCCTTTCTTGGGGATAGGTTGCACGTTGGCCTCCCTCCAAGCTAGGGGCACGTTACCAGATTGGTATGAGAGGCGGTATAAGCGCGTCAGTACGGGAGACAACTCCGCCGCACACCTTTTAAGGACGATAGGAGGTATCCCATCCGGACCATAGGCTTTCCGCACGTCAAGAGTCTGCAATTCCTTGCGGACATCACATTGTCTGATAACTATATCAGGCATTGTGACTCCGCAGTGGGGAATTGACGGCGGTTGCGCATCTTGGTCGTGAATGCGCGAGTTAGCCCCAAAAAGGTCGGCCAATAAATTGGCTTTCTCTTCGGGGCCATAGGCCAAAAATCCATTGGGATACCTCAAAGGCGGCAGCGACGAACGACAAAAATTGGACTGCACGGCTTTGGCCAGGCTCCAGTAGGCACGGCTACCGGTGGGATGGGCTACCAGCTTCTGGCCAATCCGTGAAACGCACTGGGCATCCGCTCTTATGTAAGCCCTCCTGCAAGACTTGGTTGCTTTGTTATAGGCTGCTTTAAGGGACGCAAGGTTGGGATCCTTTGTTGCACGACCCCTGGTCCAACCACGATATGCAGCCTGTTTCTCACTAACAGCGTCCATGCATTCGCGATTGAACCAAGGGCGTCCTCTGCGATTGGCGATGACACTGGAAGACGGTATGTAGTAATCCATAGCCGTTCCAATCTCATCGACAACAGCATCGGCAGCTGCTGAGGCATCCTTTCCCGCAAAGCAGTGCTGCAACCAAGGGATGGACGCAAAGTAGTCGCGCATACCATCCCAATCCGCCGACGAGTAGTGCCAAATGCGACGAGTGACCTCCTTCAGCTTAGTTGGAGGCATTTGGGAAACCTTACACCCAACCAAACAGTGATCAGAACTTCCCAGGGGGGCGCTGACTGATACTGTGTAGTAGGTAGGGTGACTCGCGAGCAGAAGGTCAAGCAAAGAGGGTGCATGATCCGATATGTCTGGAACCCGGGTGGGCTGGGTTACCAGTTGGGTCAAGTCATGCGTGAGAGCGAAAGTGTGGGCAGTTCTTCCTGCATGGTCAGTCTTGAGGGAACTTAACCATGATTCATGGTGAGCATTAAAGTCCCCCAACACGACCATCTCCGCAGATGGGAACTGCGCCTGCGCGTCAAGAGTCGCCTGGCTCAGTTGGTCAAAGAGCCTAGTTGTCTCCGCATCCCCGCTGTGGGATCTATATAAGCACGCGAAGACTCTAGCTGAACAACTTTCATCCGTTTGAGTTCTTAATTTTATCACAGGCATGATTTACATTTGCAGTTTTTGTATTGATTTTTTTTAGTTTCGCGCCGGGACCTTTTTAAAGGAGAAATGGGCTGAAACAACAGACAATAAAAGCTGGGTACGTACTAAATGTAGCGCCATTTGCTATAGGCATTTTATGACATCACATTAAATTATATACATATGAATAACAACCTTAAAATTTATTAAGAAATAAATCATTTGGTTAATCAGGTGGACATGAAGCTCAGAGTCGCCTTCACAAATTATAGACCACATCTAAATGTGAAAACATTTCTGAAGAATTGTCAGTTATTTTTCTTGAAACAAATGATTCGCTTCTTCGCCTTCGGAAATAAGTATCTTCATATTCTTGACAAGCTCGTCGACGCTATAGGTGTAGTCATGTTCAGTCAGTTCAGAAACAGGTAATTGTTGAGCAAATATATCATATTTCAGGGAGAATAAAGATTTTTATGATGACTGTGTTTTAATATTTCAACCCTTCTAGTGATCGGATTGACTTGAAATGTAGTAGTATAATGAAAGTACAATGACAGTATAATAAATCATTAATACTGTGATTGTAGCATGAAGCTACATATACACACACGCCTGCTTAGCTAATATCAATTAATATTTGCGTGTAGTAAAACCTTATGCGTATTTGGTAACAAATATGTGCGTGTAAAAGTCAGTTACACTAGTTCTCGAAATTGCTTTAAATGCCGTTTCCATATACTCCGTGATTAACCCTAATTATAGCAAGTATAAAGCAATGCCTAGTTCAATATTCCGCTAGTTATAAAACAATGTCGATATCAATTAAACGTCACATCCCTATCTGTAGATTGTCAACTTTTTGCTTTTTTTCCAAGAAGTTGATGTTCATAGGATTCTTAGCTTTTATGTGACTAGTAATAATAAAACCTTGTCAGATCCAAACAAGTTTCAATATTTTTTATCAAAGGTTTTTTATTATTGTCTATTTTCGTTTGATAATTTATAAGCAATCAAAATTATGTTATCCATGTACTAATGTAAGATTACGTTTCCAAATTTGTGCGTGTGGCGACACCGGTTTTGATGCTCGTTGCCAAACAAATGTAGCTCGATGTCATTTCCATTCTTTTCTTTCTTCCGTGGTGCCAACCCAACAGCTGTCGACCTTCATGAAGGAAAAGTTTCAGCCGATGAGTGTCATATATCGGCGATTCCGAGACAGGTTACGTGACACCAGATTGCGTTACACGACGCCGACAAGTGCAATTTGTATAGAATAATTATTTAATTTTGATATTATACATATGTAAGTTAATCTGTGTTCTGGTTTTGAAGAGTGAGTGTGCTGGTCAAATTACAGGCACATTGAACTTATCAACTTATACTTAGGGTGTCAGGGTGTTGCGATTTAAAGCTCTTGAGTGGCACTGCAACCTTTATGGACAAGCGTATAGGTTACCATCAGGCACACGATTACTTGTTCGTCCCCTCACTTGCTTTAAGGTAAATGTTATATGGGCCTTGCCTGATTTTGAATAAATAAATTTAAAAAATATATAATATAAATTCATTTTAATGTTTTAGAACTTACGCGTGGTTCGAGAGACAAAATTAATAATAAGCAGCTAACTGATCGAAACCGGAAACTTCAAAAGGCCTATGTTTCGACCGAACTGCAGCCATATATTAAAAAAAATCTACCTAAAAACAAAATGAGAATACGCTATTCGGAAATAGAAGAAACATCCCCGTGGACAACGATAGCCGAAAAAGATCCACTTGAAGTGATTGATGTGTGGGACTACATTGATCAAAGGGGACTCCGCCATTATAATATAGGCCGCCCTATTCCTCGTACAAAATTATTGTATAGAGATGATGAGACTGAAGATGAATCTGAACTTCGGAACAGGTCAACAGCAGTAACATATTTTCATAGCTTTCCAATATTTTATTTTCCATTATTACGACCACGATCTGAAGAAATAGCCATAGGAAATTATTTTTATGTGAGTACAATATTATTTTTCATTAATTTAAAAAATGTGTTTAACTGTTTAAGTATTTACTACATAAGTATGGTTAAGTGCCGCTTTATATTTGGAAATCAGTTTGGAATTCGTTTTAAAACTTCAGAAGTCGAATGCACTAAATTCATTCAAGTAGTATTGAGCACAAATGTCGGCCACAAACGTGCGTTTTCTTCGAAATGAAAAATATTCCTGAAAATGGGGCCGACCAATGTCCGGAAGTAAAATAAAAAACATATACGTATACAATTCGCACACGTGAAATTAACGATTTTGAAACACTCATGTGTTTTACAAAGTTTTTGGCGGCGGTACATTCAAGGAAGTGGCTCGGCACACTTAAAACATCGTAGTAACAGCGTTTCATAAAAAACTCAATTTCGCAGAAACAAAAACATGATTGTATTTAATTTTTTTGTTATTCCATTTTGGTATTTTTGTAAAAAAAATGTATCTGACAACTTTCCAACATTCGAAATGCTGAAATGCTGCTATTTAATTACGCTTCCCTACTTCGAAAGCTGCCGTGTCTGCTTCAAGAACTAGAGGGTGATGATAAGTTATGCAAGGTAGTTTGAATACCATTTGAATGCGTCTAACAATTACCATTCTATGATCCCCTTACATAAGGTTACAGCTCTAACCAGACCCAACGCAGAGGGTCAAGGGCTGTCTATAGCGAGACGACGTACTCCAGATACCACTGATTAAAGTTATAAACACCCAAATGACTCGGACCTTGTATGTGTACCTAGTGCATGTGAAGGATCCAAGTTAGGAGCGAACAACGTGCACAACCTAAGTTGAATCTTACTACGTGATGTAATGCTGTCCAGTTCGTCCGGGAGCTAGTCTCAGCCAGAAAACCTTCCTGCAGTGTGTTAGATAGTGAATGTGCAAAATTTTTGAGTGAAAGTGTGGTGTGTACTGTAAGCTGGGACGTAGCTTAGGATGCGTAGCGAGAGGTACCTAGTGCAGGTTGTGGAATCGAACAGCTGAGATCATTCGGCTTCCGAGACGTTTGCCCAGGCCAACCCCAGGTGTGCTGTTGTGTACTTGCTCCCCGAATAGTGGGCGCTGCATCGGGGTTGGGTCGGCTCCTGCCTAATCTCGGGAGGCCGGTAGCCCCATGTAGAAGGCATACGCCGGGGTGACCCGGAGTATGGCCTTATACGAGGCTCCCATTTGGAGTGGGGCCTTATCAGTGGCGACGAAATCGCTGCTGAGGAGGCCTCAGAGGGTGGAAGCCCTGCGAATTTGCAGGCCGTACATGACGGTGGCTTGCGCTGCCGCATGCGCTCTCGCCGGTACTCCGCCGTGGGACCTTGAAGCCGAGGTCCTGGCAGAGGTCCACGCCTACCGGCGAGGAATGAGGGACTGAGGCGAGCGCTCCGCTCCCCATGAGGTCGAGTGGGAGCGTGGGAAAGAGGGCTTGGCAGATCTCCCTTATGGAGCTCGTACCAGGGGGGCGATCCATCCTGCCCTCGTAGAGTGGGTATGTCGTTAAGGAACAAAGTCCGGAACGAAGTTATCCGGCATAAGACTAAAGTTGTGGACATCGTCAAGAAATCTAGCAAGCTGAAGTGGCAGTGGGCTGGCCACATCTGTCGCAGAACCGATGAGCGATGGAGTAGATGGGTTCTCGAGTGGAGACCACGTCTCGGCAAACGTAACGTAAGACCTCCTGCAAGATGGACCGACGATCTGAAGAAGGTCGCAGGTAGTGGTTGAAAGCGGAACACGGGTGATATGGCGTACACTTGCGGAGGCTTATGTCCAGCAGTGGACTGCAATAGGCTGATTGATTGATTGAATTGTCGTAGACTTGTGAAGCAATAGGCATTTTGATCGCACCGGTTTTTAATAATTAAGCGTGTGTGTTTTTTTCTAATAATTTTCCAATTAACGTATCCAATAGCACCCCTTACACAGTCACTCTAACTCGCATGGAAGCCTGCACGTGGAATCGTGCGCGATTACCTGTTTGAATTTTTTTAAGCTGCCGTTCTTTCGCCCTCATTTGCTCGTGTTCATTTTTGTTACAACGGAAAGAGCGTCCGCGTAAAGGCTAATACCGCAGGACAGACCTCGTGAAACTGGCACGTGTTTGAGTGCGCGATTGCGCGCGCGACTTATGAGCGCAATCGCGCGGTCTTTCCCTTTTCCTTCCAGTATCTTTCCTAACACACGCGCTCAATTGCGCACGATTGCTATATCGCTCGCGGCAGTGTCTGTGTAAAGCCCGCTATTATCATGATATTGCTTTATGATCTTCATTAATTGTTCAGGAACTCCCAAATTTACATTACCAGTTACAGTGTAGGTACCGTGTTTGACTATTCTGCATTCTGCAGTAACACTACTTGCGAAACTTTTTACATTATACGGTGTTGTCAGCGTCTTCAAGTGATTATGTGCAATAGACTACGTTAAATATAATGTTATAATGATAGTTTTCTATTGCAGGGAAGGTTATGGACGGCCGTTGTACCTCTAGCGTTTTTTTTGTTTACTTCAATATTGTTCCTTGTTTTTTTTTTCTTGAGTCAAAGAATGACCCGAATTGGAAGATGGCATTTCAAGGTAATTTTGTGATAAAGATAAGACCATGAAACTTAATACATAATGTATTTACTGTATTTTCATAAATAATGTCGAGTGCAAATAACACTGGCGTGTAAACAAATATAAATTAACAATTTTCAACTCTATGGGATAATCTAGAACATGTGGCCCGTTCATAAAGAAACACACAAACAAGCATCGATTTCAATAATAAAAACAATAAATTTTGACGTTACGTTTCTGAAACACTTTGTTTGTTACTTTTAACGGAAAATGTCAAACTGAATAGGGGTAAGTATAGCAGACGTCTATCTAGTTAATAATACCGGGTGGAACAGAACGACCGACAAAGCGGAAAACTGTGAAGAGTCTTAAATATGTATTTAATTGTACTGAAAGTTTTTTTGCTCTAAGTGTAATAGTTTCCGAGTTATACAATGATAAAGATTTGCTTGAAAAGTCTGTATTGTCAACCCTACATCATAAAACACAGCTGTTTGGAGGCAACTACCGGGAGGTACTCAGGGCAAAAACTTTGTAATTTAGTAGATCGTTGACCTCCGTCGTTGATCAGCACCCCATCAGTCGCTTTCTTTGATCAACCACTTTCTTTGATCGGTCATCATGTGAATGATGATTAATTACGCGGGTATTTTAGTGTATTACTTTGAGAGTAATTAACACCCCTAAATTGCATGTGTGACGACCCAATATTTACATTTACCGAAAAAATGCACCTCTCCTAGAATCTTCGGGAAACATGTTGTTTCTAAACCTTTGTAGGTAGTTTATGACAACGCATAGTTGACAGTGTCATTTAGACTTCACTTTTCTTAAGTTGTTGTCAACTTAAGAAAAGTGAAGTTTTCTAAATGATCCTATCAGGAGTTTAACTCATATTGCCTGCGTCATAAGATAAGACTAACTTAATATAAACATAACTAAATTAAGTAAACACGTTCTACAACATGCGTCAAGTACTCAAATTACAATAGTCTCGTAACCCTTAATCCGGCCCTAACGTAAAATAGTAAATTGAGGCAGCCAATCACGTCACTTAGAAATTTAGAGATGGACACTTGATAACTGTTATCTGTTTTTGCTAGCATAATCGGGAGATCGTTTTTTTTGTACTAGTCTATTTATGAATGCATTTGGAAATAGTTTTAATTTACACTACAAGAATTTACTCAAGAATTTACTAACTTTAAAACGAAGAGTTCATTCTATTGATATCAACATTTAAAACTAAAATTTCTGTTAACTTGAGCTGTGTAGTTGAAATTTTAATAAATGTAATGTAAAAATAAATAAATCGGAGGATCTTGGAGGTCTGCAGACCACCTCCACGTTTCGCTTTCTTATTTTTGATTAAATTTGATTATTTATTACAATTCATTAAACGACCTGCATTTACTTTACTTTTACTTTTAAATTGCTCATGGTACTTATACCAGACAATACGATTATTGCGAAAGTTATTTCTTTATCATAATTGTCTTTTTAAAATAACATTTCGATATTTAATAATCAATGATATTCGACGCGTACGCCGCCGCCGCCGCGCGCATCTCTATGCAGAGTTGCCAATTAAGCGACTTTGTCCCTTTATGTGATGATTTGAAATCAAAAGCGTCTTTTATTTCTAGCGACAAAAAAAAATTGGTATTTTTTGGCGCGTATTTAATTAGGTTTAATCGTTTATAATTTAATATTATTTTTATCTTAATATTCAGGAGTCTTTTACCTGTACTGGGACCATTCTGTTTAGTGATATTTGCTTTAGTCTAGTTGGTAACACTTTTTCATTCATAAATTAGTTCAAAATGCCTGGTTGTATGGTAACTCGTGGTCTCATGTTTACAACAAAAAAACGTTTACTTGTTAGTTTTTGGGTTGTGACAGCAACTTATTGGAATAATGCCGTTATTAAGTAGTGCTTGTGTTAAGCAAGTAAAATGTATTAGTGTGTTTGCGTGGAAAACCACATCGGCGTATGACCGGCACACCCAGGAATGTGTCTGGAATGTCTGCAAGAGTAAAGGGGACGTGGACAAATCGAAAATCATTTTAATTTAAAGTAAGTTCAATGTTTTTTAATTACCTATTCAAGTGAGAGCACTTATTTCTTCTGCGAGTGCCAATGACACGAACGCCGCCTGTAGGGCAGTAGATGTACTCACAATCTCACAATCACAATCAACATAGCCCCGCACTAGGGAAACCCTGTGTTGCGGGTGCCATGGACACACACATAGACAACCACAAGTTACACCCAAACTCACGAGAGAAATAAATGTAGGCCATACAAATATTTCTCCCGGCCCGGGAATCGAACCTGGGACCTTTGCGTGGCAGTCCGGCATGGTAACCGTTCGGCCACGGAGGCAGTTACTAACACGATTGATTCGCTTAGGGTTGTTGCACCGCGAAAGTTTTAAATCTGGACGAATATTTTTCAACTGCTCTGATTTTACATTTAAAGTAAATAAAACTCATGTATGTTGGGTACTCAACGTGATATTTTCGGCTTTGTCGGTCGTTCCGTTCCACCCTGTATAACATTGTAATCATGTCATTCATAGACTTCACTGCCTCCGTGGCCGAACGACTGTCACGCAGAGGTCCCAGGTTCGATTCCCGGGCCGGGAGAAATATTAGTATGGCCTACATTCATTTCTCTCGTAAGTTTGGGAGTAATTTGTGGTTGTCTATGTGTGTGTCCATGACACCCGCGACATAGGGTTTCCCTAGTGCGGGGCTATGTTGATTGTGATTGTGAGATTGTGAGTACATCTACTGCCCTACAGGCGGCGTTCGTGTCATTGGCACTCGCAGAAGAAATAAGTGCTCTCACTTGAATAGGTAATTAAAAAACATTGAACTTACTTTAAATTAAAATGATTTTCGATTTGTCTTGTGGGGCTATATTGAGTGTGTGCGTTATAGAGACGAATAACATAATTTCTCTTTCTTTTAATCATTCTGACGGAAAAACGATGTCGCCAAGTACTCTACGTTAGGTTTCCTATAGATTATAGTCTAGATTAACGGGTTTTTGCAACCTGACATAGTCATCAGTCGTGCACTCCGTTATTCATCCAGTTGCTTTTAAATTAGTACCCCAAAACTTGTTGAATGACGCGAAGTTTGTTTACGGACCATTTCGATACCGTAATATATTGAATTGCTAAAAACTATAGTACCAGCACGTTATAATGGCTGTTTTGTCGTTTGCCCGCTCATCAAGTTTCGTATTAATTCATAACTACGTTGAAGGAGCTAATTGCTGTACATGTTGTAATAGTGACGTGGAGTAAAATTCATGGAATGTATCGTTTTAAGACACAACTCGGTATTTGCTTTTCGAAATTCGAAATTTAAAAAAATGAAATCTAATACGATCGTCACTTATGGGATTGCTAGACAGCACAACTTCTACCTCCGGCAAACTCGCGTTAAAGCTCAATGCAAAATAAAGCAGTTTCGAATTGACGATATATTAAGTAAACATTTATATTTTTGTTTTATTAAAACTTTTTAGTCAGCTACCCTTGCAATACTAGTTACAAATCTAAACACTTATAGTGTGACTCGCATTTAATTACATTTTGTACGATAATGAATCGAGATTGCACCTCACTGTTGTAATCTGTCAAAACAGCCACCATAGCGTGCCGGTACTATAGTGCGTTTTAAAGAAACAATTTGGTTGAAAAACTTACTTTTGGTAGTAGGAAGTTAAAGGCTTGTCAGTGTACTTGTATTACTTTATACAAATACGTCGGTGACCACCGTACGGTTTTAACCCTTTCATATACAGTAACAGCGATTACCGTGAAAATAAAAAAAAATTAGAATATATGAGTTTTGTAATATGAATCTCAAAAAACCAATTACAGGTTTTACAGTGCGATTTCCAAGTGCTTTCTGTGTACTTACCGCGTACTGGTTTTCCATAGTATCAACAACGTACTGACATTTTTTTTTATAATTCCAAGTGACGGGACCATCGAGTATATAACCAGAAATAGAGACGAAATGTCATCTAATTTGTTTGAAAACTATTCTGCCATATTATTACTGTGACAACTGCGTTCCGATTGGCTAGCCCGAGTTCGAAACAATTGACGGGTGTCGTCAACTGTTTCACTTCAAATCTACCAGTTAACTTGAGCTTTGCCATAATGGACGAAAACTGCAAAATTACATATTTAATATTTAATTACCGATGAAATGTGATTCCGTTTGTTTTGTAATTAGATGTTTTGCTGTTTCCCACACCACCGAATAGAACAGCACGGCATTGTTAGAGACATTATCTTTATTACAATAAATACAGAATATTTTTTGGAATATACAGAGAGGTACACACAGGTCATTAGTTGGCCTGTCTATATTTCAGTGCAAACGGGAGTTGATATTTATAAGAGCTGTATCGCTCATGTGTTACCAGGAATATATGGCCCTTATTTCGTCTCTATTTCTGGTTATATACTCGATGGACGGGACGAACAAGTCAAGCCACTGGTGGTTAGCGATACGCCTATCCATAACTGTTGCAGTGCCACTTAGAGCTTTAAATCGCAAAAATCTTAGGGGCACTGCCACTGCGCCCGTCACCCTGAGACATAAGTTGACAAGTTCCATGTGCCTGTAATTTCACTAAAACCATGCAAGGTTATTTGTAAAATAGGTAATAACAACTTTGCTTGAGTTTATTACTAACAGCATAAACAACAACTTTGATAACAAGACTTAATAAATGTACAAAAAGTGGTCTTTTAAGTTTTATTTATTTAAAGATACACCATCAACTTAACACAAAATAGTCTTAGAAATAAATATACATACGTTCACCATACAATGTGCCAAGTCGCTACAGGTGTAAACAGCACTAAACATTTAGAGTAAGCCAATGAGATACAAAAAATAATATAAAATAACAATAATAATAATAAAAAAAAACAAATAAAAATGTAAAATTACAGCAATAATTTGATTTAAGATAGAAACAA